GCCACAGCCCCCGGCTCCTCATCCACGGCGCTTTGGCCAATGGGGAAGCCCTGTGACGTCAGAGCCGCCCAGGAAAGCTCTGAGGGGGAGGGGCGCGCGGAGAGGCAGAGCGCAGGACAGGAAGTCGACCCAGAGGCAGTCCCCCAGGAGAGCCCCAGTGACCGGTTTGTTTTCAGTAGGGCACAGAGCTGCCCAGTCCTTCTTCTTCCAGCACATTCTCCGTGTAGTTTTAGTAGTGGGAGTCTTCGTGACTCTGCAGTTGAAACTTTCCTAGCATCTTCCCATTCTGATGACTTCTGGCGGTTTGGTCGCTTGTCGCCTCTCAAGAGAAGCATCTGCCAGGCACCTCCTCTAGCTCATTCCTCCGGGCTCTGCTTGGCAGAGGCCTCCGACCACATTTCCCACATGCCCAGACGAGCACCTGGTTAAGGCATCCAGAGACAGAGAACCTGTTATTCTAAAGGTTTTACATGCTGCTATAAATTTAAAAATAAGAGGAATGTTTTAAAGAAATGAACACAACGGACATAGTGTTATTCGGTACTTCTTTATTATCTATTACATTGTGTGTGTGTGTGTGTGTGCGTGTGTGTGCGTGTGCGCACAAATACATATACTTACACACACAAGTGTATATGTATGTTTATTCATTGTGAGTGTTTAAAATAATCCAGAATTCCTGTTTCCGAGTCCCTTACTGATACACACTCTTCCCTGGACACAAATGAAGGAGGGCTTGGTTTTTCCCCCACAGGCTTTCATGTCTGCAGAGGCAGCATAACAAGTCAGTGAGGGAAAGGCATTTATTTTCACTGTATTTGATAACAGTTTACTGAAGATGATGCCCAGGGAGGCTTCCATCGGAAGAGAAATTGACTTTCAGAAACTCAGTACTTCAAAGACTTCTTACCATGACCCCAGGGAAGAGAAAAATACCACTTAGGCCAATCGCCCATTTGGGACTGCCCATTCTTCTGGGAAATAGACTCATCTTAGAGTCCATAAATAATTCATGGAAAATATCAATTTATTTATAGGACAGGTGGCCAAGAGAGAGTTTCAGATGTTTACCAATAACATGGCCCTGGAACTCCATCCTATTGAAATGATTCCTGTTCTTGGCAGGAATAACTTGTGCTAAGGGTTGTATCCACACCCTTTTAAAAACATGCCATTGATTTTGCATAACTAATATGAGCATTGAAATGGGGACTCTTTAGAGACAAGTATGTACAAAGACCAGGTTTTCCCCCCGGGGGGTTTGCACATGTGGTAGAAACTGATGAACCCAAATCTGTGCCATTTGACGATTATGCTCATTTTAATTTACAAAGGAATTGTTTTCTTTCCCCCCGTACTATTCCTAATTGGGACCAAATTTTATCTTATAAGTAGAAGAGGTAGCTGTAAATGATTTCATGCCCTGCCAATGACCATAGGCACAGATTTTTAACAAAAGGCTCATAAAACTTTTTATGATACTGTAAAACTAGAGAGCTCATGCCCATTAAAACATAAGCTTCATGTTACATGTAATTAAGGCAGGGAGGAAAACGTAAAAATGTAAGTATAAAAATGTATCTTGTATTACATATTAAATGCACACAGAAAACACTGCGTAAGTTCCACCTCAAAGACAAAACTGAAGACAAGCAGAAAACGTCACGGTGGGTGAATGATTCCATGGCTGAAAATGAACTGGTATTCTAGTTCTCCAGAGGATATATGGTATTGAAGGTTAGAGATCATTTTCTATTTTTCCTGATTGTAAATAAGAAAGCATTGTTAAAGATACATTCAGCTGCCATTTGGTTAATCTAGGTGATCATTTTTGGTCCATTGAAGTTTGACAATTATTATTTATTTTTTCCTTAGGAATGAGGACTTGTGTCCTAAGGAGAGGTTTGAAGAGATGAGCAAGATCTGTCAAAGGCAGCTGGAGAAGATGCTCATAACTTTTATTTATTTATTTATTTTATTTTATTTTTTTAAAAGATTTTATTTATTTGAGAGAGAGAGAATGAGAGACAGAGAGCATGAGAGGGAGGAGAGTCAGAGGGAGAAGCAGACCCCCCGCTGAGCAGGGAGCCCGATGCGGGACTCGATCCTGGGACTCCAGGATCATGACCTGAGCCGAAGGCAGTCGCTTAACCAACTGAGCCACCCAGGCGCCCCGATGCTCATAACTTTTATCCATTCTAGAACGCAGTGGGAGAGGAGGACTATGCTACAGCGCCTCCTTTCCGCCCATTCTGATTGCGATGGACCCACCGGATTAACCTAAGCGACGTTTGCTTCAATGTTGGCATTTTTTATCATCCTCTTAGCTCAATGTATTGACTGCTGAGGGATGCCAAGAATTCTGAATCCCAGCTATTAATGTAAGCTCTTCTGGAGACCAAACGACCTCTTCTATCTAAGTGGGTATGCGATTGATTAGATGTTACAGTATATGCCCATTTTACTTTAATGTTCTTAATTTTTTCTAATATTCAAATTCATTATTTCATTTTAAAAGTATATAAATTATAGACCAAATAAAAAATCAAATCATAGAGTGTAAAGAAAATGTTGACCTTGATGCCATACGTTGAGATTTCAATCTATACATTTTGAACAGTTTTTATTATAGGGAAAAAATGGAAATACAATTGAACAAAACATATAAATAAACAAATCGTATGCTACCATAATTACATCATTTAGCCTACCACTAAGAGCTGCATCAAATTGATGTATTTCACCAGCCAACCATAAAATAAGGAAATTTTTCACTAAATAGTTGAGAATCAATTGAATACATTTTATATTTATGACACCATGTTACTTCTGAATTCTGATGTATGAGTAATCAATTATAATTACTCTGCTTTTTAAAAATATCAAAACATTCTAATAAATTTTATAGGGATTACTTTTTCATGTAATAAAAATAACAATATGACACTATACATAAATTTCCTAAGAAAAATGTCCTGGTTAGATATATTACATGTCTCCTAATAACCAGCCAGTCAGCATAGATCAAATTCAAAACCTAATCTACCTAAATACAATGACCTTGTAGGAATATAACCCCCCTTTTTTGGTGTTTTCTCTAAAGGCAGCTGTTTAATTTTTTAAATGTTGTTCTTCCTCTTAGTTGGGCTTAAGTAATTATCTTCACTTACACTGCAAATATACTTAAAATTGTAAATATTCTTGATAAGTTTAAGAATTAGCATTTTGATTGTGTATTGTGTGTGTTAAAGCATAGCGATCCAACATTTAATAGAGCCGTAAAACAAATTCTTTATATTTCGACGACCATAAAGAAAACAAATGGAGCCCCATTTTAGGAGGACTGCATGGTCTATATCAGTTAGGAAAAATAAGTTCTACCGCCCCTTACACCAAGTGACAGAATCATAAAAGAAATGTGGAAGTTGATAATAACAGTTACTATAGCAATAAAAACATGATAAAAGGTTCTTTGACAGTTTGAAACCTTGGAAGCCTTGCCAAATACAAACTCGAGTTTGGAGGCCCTGGCATGATCCTGCCATCTTTAGGAGGTCTTTGGGTCTTTTGACAAGTTCTGGTTCATCCCCCTAAGTCAAAGTGATCTATCAAAATGCCTTAGTTTCCAAGAGCAATCTAAATCACTTGAACTTATGTACACACTAACAAAAGAAAAAAAAAACTACAATAATATTTGTGGAGCAAGGACTCCTCGATCCAGTCAAAATGGTAGAATCTGCTGTAGTATCATTTTGAGCTTGGATGTGTTTTTGAAGTTATCAGCCCATATGAGCTTACTGAAATTTATGTTCGTTCATTTTAAATACAATAATCTTAGCCACCGATGATGATATTTTTCATTTTTTATTTGTTTCTTTTTGCAAGGTGAAAATCCACAGGAAGAAATTTCAGATACTGATGATTCTTTCAGTATTTGTTCAACTTAAGGAGCCCATAAGGTAATATTTAATAAGACCCTAACCCTGACTATCTCTCTAGGCTCTTAACCTTATTACTGTATCAAACCCCCGTCTCACCACCATGCCAAAGCATTAAAGCTTTGAAATAACTCTTAGTAGGTTACATATTTTTTGACCAGTTTCTGTATTTCTTCTTGGAATCCTCAAGTGAAATGGAACTGAAAGAAGAAACTTCAAATGCACAACAGCATTATGTTTTCTGCATAAACATTACCGCACTATTTCTACGTCAAAAACCAGTGACTTATTCCAGGGCTTTCTAAGCGGAAATTATTGTTTTATAGAGTTGACTGCTAGGCACAGGGGCATCTAACATGAGGAAGATCAAATGACCCAAGTATGAACCCATTTGGCAGGCAATGGTGAGCCCTTCTTTTTCATATGTCCCTCCAGGATCCTATTCGTCTACTTGGATGGCTGGCAAATAGCTCACTGTGCTTTTAAATGCACACACACGCACACACACACACAATGTCAACAGTGATGCTTGGAAATGCTTATGCAGTTATTCTTTACTTTCAATATTGTCAATGTTTTCTTTAGTTGAGTTCAGTTTAGATTGGATACTAATCAGTTCTTACCAAAAATAATACACTTTCTTCAACTTTTACATCTAAAAATATGCTTAAATACCTATTCCTATTTTCCCCCACTCAAGTAATGAACTTGCTAAGCACATACAAGTACATACACACATACACCTATTTCCCCAAGGTAAAATAAAATGTTGTTTTTTCAATTAAGGAGTAACTAAAATAATTCCTAGCATTTCAGTGCCTTATCTTTACAAAAAAAATAGCTCTTCACTGCACTATGTTCAAAAGTTTTGGTCACTGTACAGCAGGGAGTCCATCTGATCAAAATTTGGAGGATATCAGGGTTGGAAGGAACTGGACAGTTATCCTATTAAACCACACTAAATAGTTGAATCTGTATGAGGACATGCCTGCCAAGTAGTCACTGTGTGGTGGTATACCTCCAGTAAAAAGGAGAATAAAGGATACTCTCTAACACAGGCTATTACCAGTAAGACATTTATTAATAGTATGATTATACTTGTTCCTAAAATCTATTATTATTTCAACAGTGAAGAGGTAAATGCCAGACTAACCTCAGTCAGATGGTTATTATAGTTAGGTTGACAGTAAATTACAAGACATATCCACAGACTATAATCCTGTTATAGAGTACGTAATACATTAAAACACAATGGAGAGGCTGCACGAATTGGCAACATTTTATATCATTAAAAAAAAAAATCGAAGACCTAAAAATGGTGCTTGCCTATGGTTGCAGATATTAGAAAAATCTTTCATTTTAAAGGGCAATTCTGTACCATTTAAAAAAAATCTATCATCTGTCAAAGGCAGATATGTATTGTTTATATCAAGTGATGGTTGTGCTTAAATATAATTTAAGACAGTTAAATATAAATTCACGTTTACTTCCATATAAAAATATATATAAAAATAGAGTATTTAAAGAGGTGGATATTCATACTAAGGAACTGATTGATCAAAATAGTCTTTTTTTGGTGTGGTAATGAAATTGAGGTATTTGTACATGTTGTAATTTCAAACCTGGATTGAATAACCCTCTCAGGTTTTTTTTTTCCCCCCAAAAGAAAAACAATCCTTTAAAAACCAATTTTAACTGTGGGATAGCTCACAAGAAAACACTTGTAAAATAAAGAAATTCACCATTTTGAAATTAACATATAGAAGAGAAAGTTCTCAATACTAGAATTGGATATGTTGTATATGTATGCCACAGTTTTAATAAAAAAGTAATTTTATGCTTACTCTAAATTTGTATTTGATAAATCAAAATATGGCTACTAGTAACATAATATTTCTGGACATATACAGATGCTGTATGAAAATAAACACCTACGCACTTGCAAATGGCTAATCCTTTGAAACTATTTACATAAAATGTAATCTTGAATTACACAGGGTTCTAACGTAAAACAAAAGCTTTCTTAAGTAATATCATCAGTAAAACATAATAAAATAATACACTTTAAAATTACATATTTAATCAACTTAGACTGCAGTTTCCCATCCAAGTTCACAGACAGGGTAGGAGGGAATGTTTATGAAAAGTACAAAGAGTGCAAAGTTAAATGCATTGGTGTTTTAACTGTAAAATATTACATTCCTATCTCTTGCATAGAATCGTTTTGAATTCCCCGTGGAGCATTCCTGTTCTTTTCCTTTCAATTGTAAAATTTAAGAAGTATAGGAAGAAATATTTTCCTAAGCATTAGATTCACAAAGCCTAAGCCATCATAAACATCACTTTTTCTCCTGGTAAAGGACACAAACACAATCCCTACTTGCAAGTGGAATGTAACTGCTTTTTTCTCCTTTTTAGTATTAATCTACCGAGAGAAAAGATAATGCAATACTCAAGAGCTTTATCCTTTTTGTCCACATAATTCAAGTGTCTATATTTCTCCTTATTATCACAATGCAATACCTAGCCCACAGTGGTTCTAATTTAAGATTATACTTCAAGTAACCTTTTTCTAGCTCTAGCTTTCCCCTTGAAAACAAATGATTTTCAAGTGCACACCTTGGACTTACAAAGCTGTAGGGAAAAAGTGTTATTATTACTTTTTTTAACCACGTGTGCATTGGTGTGTATGTGTGTGCCAGGGTGCATGAGTGTGCGGTCAATCCAAATACACGTGATGTACAGGATTTGGTTCTTAGACTGCTGTCCAGGTGAGTGAGTGGCTTGCCTCCAATTCCAGGTTCAGTCCTCCTGCAGGGAGTCTACGCAGTTCTTTTACTCGCACACATCCTGCTGAGAAGGATTTCAGAGCAAACCTGATTAATTGGACCTCTGACATGATACGGTGATTGAAAATTTGTTACCGAGTCTTGTCGTCGTTGTTGTAGTTTGCTTTGATTGCTGAAATATTTCCCCACAATATGATTTCTTGATTGTTTCATTTTAATAAAGGGATATTCTTTGGATAGCTTTGATTTCACTACCTGCAAATAAAGAGCAAAACATAGTCAAAATCAAGGACATTCAAGCCCTGCATAGAGTAGTATAACTAACTCACAAACTTGAACAGCATCTTTATCATGCGGATATTGCCTAAAGGACATAAATATGATCTACATAGCCAAGAGCCAGAGAAACTGCTCTTTCAAAAAAAACAAAAACAAAAAACACCAAAAAACTAAAGTTGGAATTAGAATTTCTGCCATTTTACTTACCTCAGGGCAGTTGAATCCAATGCAACTGAGGAATAATTTCAGATGGTTTCTCTACTACACTGGTGTGTGTGTGTGTGTGTGTGTGTACTTAGGCCGGATGCCACCATATAGAAAAGACACTGAGGTACCTTTGCTGGGTCACTGATTCAAACATGGTACTCTAAACCTGCCATGGCACCCTTTTATAGAATGGAAATTAAAACTATTTGCAGAGAAAAGAAAAATACTTCTCTATTGCACAGCCATAAGCTGACACTTAAAATTAGTGGTTTCCTTTTTCTGGGCACTTAGTAAGTTAGTAAGGGATCTGTAGAAGCAGACCATGCCCTATTGAGGTAATAACTTTATATATGTTTGTACATATATTTTATCTTAAACTTTTTTGAATAGGCAGAATTAGAAAGCATTTATAAAGCATAAAAGGATATGTAACACAAATTTCCTCCCCAGCTCTGCCTCCCCACCTCCAGTCACTCAGTTGACTCCCCAGAAGTAACATATATTACTAGTTTGTGATTCCATTCACAGATATTTTATGAATATCAACACATACACATACACACAAATAAACAGGCCGTATTTATAGTCCATTTGTACAGTTTACAAAAAGTTGTCCTGGGGCTATTCTATAATTTTATTTAAATTAAATTAATTAACATACAGTGCATTATTAGTTTCAGAGGTAGTATAATTGTCAGTTTTAATCACTGGGTTAATGTAACTCAGATTGTTAATACCAACAGTCAGAGGGAATCAGGAAGGGATCAAAACAGAGATTGTGGGGAGGGTTAGGAAGTGGGGAGGAGAGAAAATACTGGCAAAGCTGTTTGAGGTGTCTTCACAAATGAATAACAATTCATTAATTCAATTTATTAATTATTAATTTTTAATGCAATTGCAAGACATTATTTTTGGTCAATATGGATACATAAACTATGTATTATTGATGACTAATGAAGGCAACACTAGCTCACATAGATTTTGAAAATTCCTTTAAGTGCTGTATAAGATTTAGAGCCACATATATTTATTCCATATTAAGAGAATACAATGAAAATGGCTAAAAAAATACAGAATATTTAAACAAACACAAGCTATTTATTTTGAAGATAAGTATTTTTAGTTATTATGTGCAAGTGAGCATGAACACTTTTAGAAGATTTATTTGAGTAGAAATTCTGTAAAGATCTAAACCAAAATGTCAACAGTAGTGATCTTTGGGTAGAGGAATTATTGGTGATTTAAAACATCTTCTTTGTAACTTCTGACCTTGCCTTTTTTATTTGAACACAACAAACGTGCATTCCTTTATAATCATAAAAATGTTGAAGCTATTCCCATTTTGAAGAAAAAAATGTAACCCCAAAGAAATGAATTGTTTTCCTGTAGCTATGGGATGTTTAGTTTTTTTATGATCAGGCCCTCAGATAAAGTGACTCTTAAGAAGACCAGTGAAATCAGTGGGTTGTGGTAAGGAATCCTTGCGGATGGCAAATCAGAGCTCAGTTTGCATTTAACCACTGATTAATATTCCAGGTCCCAAGGTTGTAAGTTGCTGTTATGTGCAGCTCCTTCCACCCCTGTTTGGTTATCCTACAACTTTAAATATGATAGGCTGGGAGGTGCACCAGTGTTTTCCTGAAGGTTCTGTCCATTTTAGAAGAGGTGTGTATTCAACGATAACCAGATTAGTGAAAATTTTTAAGGAAGTTTATTTAAGGAAACACTTAAGCATAAATATTACTTTCAACCCTCAAAAAACATTATTCCAGTATTCTGAAGCCAAAATAAGGTTACTTTTGTTTATATAATTTTATCTTAAGGTCTGGTTTTTGCAATTGCCAGATGATCTGCATGCTAATTAAATGCAAAATAGATAAAAATACATCCCATTGCAAAAGGTTATATAGTTCTTTAAAAATTATTTCAATGTGTTGTGTTGCATCTAATGTTGCATTACAAATGTTGGATAATGCTAGTGTAGATGCTTATAGCAATCTTGAATGGGATTTATAAAAGAGATAATACAAAAATATATATTTCCATTGTATTTGCTGAAGCTTAGAGCTTCTATTCAAGAGTCGTGTCAGTATTTTGCCAGATCACATGGAAGGTTGATAATGTATTTCTATTTTTAAACCACTCAGGTGGTCTCTGAGAAAGGAAGATGGGATGATGGGGTCTCTGCCAGCTTCTGAGGGCCAGCCTAATGCCTCTCATAATGCTGGTGCTGGCATATATGTTGCTGAAGACTGGTTCCTACACATCGATCCCAGGGCGTGGCCCAACAACACTTAATTCAGTTAGTTTCCTTTGAAAGCTATTTTTCAGGAAATAATCAGAGACGCTAGCTAAGTGTCCTAATTCCTTGGTGAGGCCAGTTTTACCCTGACACTGACTCCTGAAAGGTGACAAACCTACAGAGAAAGAATTACTTCAATTTTGATTTGTCAAAATAGAGATGTAAAAAGTCTGCCCAAATGCTATTGTCAATGGAATCCGGGAACCTTTGAAAAAATCCAGCAGTATTATGTGCTGTACCACCAGCACAAATAATTTATTTCAGGAATACAAGCTTTAGCGTTATGAAACATTTTGTTATAGGAAATTACCCAAGAATTATTTATAACTATATGATTGTTTACCTTGAAAACCCAAAGGAAGCTACTGAAAAATAATGAGATATTATAAAGTTAATATTTACAAATTATATAGCATTTCTATATTCTATCAATAATTAATAAGAAATATATTAGAGAAAGGATCCCATTACAATATGAAAACAATTTCATTCAGTTCAGCAATTATGCAGGTGAGGAAAACACAAAGTTTAATAAAAGGAAAACATAAACAAATGGAAAGACATACCATGTCAAATCCTCCCGGGTTAATTAAAATGCTATTCCAACTGTAATCACAACAGGATTTGGGGGGACATGACAAAGAAATCCTAAAATACATCTTGAAGAATCAAGGTAAGAAAGTAACCAAGACCATTTGGCAAGGGAAAAAAAAAAACAGTGATGGTGCAGGATTTTTCAATACCAGATGTTCACTCAGCGATATTAATTGAGTCTACCATCAGCATACCATAGACCCAATTTGTTGGTTGCATAAGACAGGTACAAGCAGAATTCAATACTGTGATAGAAAAAATAGGAAAGTTCGTACTACATTAAAGTGCATTTCATAAACTGCTACTCTTCCCTAAAAATGTTTATGGAGCAATAAGGTAGTTCTAAATAAAGCCCAGTGTTATATAAATCTAGTGACCATAAATGTTGACAGCCTAAGAGTTTTAATTACTTGCAAATAAAATCAAGACTGTATGTTTAAAATGGAGCTATGTATCAAACTGCTAATAGAATCTCCAATGGGGAAAGGAGTGAGAATTAATGGGTGCATATGATAAAAAGGCAGGAATTTTCTCTCTCTCTTTTTTTTTTTTGAGAGAGAGAGAGTGAGCGAGCGAGCAAGCACACATGTGTGTGAGGGTGGGGAGGGGCAGAGGGCGAGGGAGAGCGAGAATCTTAAGCAGGCTCCACACCCAGCACGGAGCCCAACAAAGGGCTCGATCTCACAACCCTGAGATCATGACCTGAGTAGAAACCAAGAGCCAGACGCTTCCCTGAATGAGCCACACAGGCACCCCAGGAATTTTTTTTTTTTAAGATTTTATTTTTAAGTAATCTCTACACCCAGTGTGGGGCTTGAACCCACGACTCTGAGATCAAGAGTTGCCCGCTCCACTGACCGAGCCATGCAGGCACCCCTAAAGGCAGGATTTTTTTTGTTTTTATTGTATATACTCATTTTTACATTTTTATAGCTAGCAAGAGTTCATGTAATCCTTTTACAATAGAAAAGCAGCAGAAGAGAAAAAAAAATGATGCCATATCTTATAAAATTAAAATGAGTTACTGATGACTTAATGATTTATTTTTTTCTACATAATATCCAACTTTCAGTCTTCAGAGTTCTCTGCCAGGAAACACATGGAGTAATTCAGACATGGTCCCTACCCTCAAGGGGGCTATATAAAGACACATGTCTAAGATACTTGAAGTAAGAACAAGAATGAAATGACTTCAAAGACATTGTCTGAGACTAACTCCCCAAGGTCAGGCACCATGTTGTTTCCGTGTAATGAATAGTTCCTTCGTACATTACTTAGTGTTAATTTATGGTGGGCATGATCATCTGCTCACAGAGCTATTATTTCTTTGAACTTATTTGTTAAATTCAGTATCCGGCATTGCTGCCAAGCTGCTATCTCCAAGTTTCAAAACATTACTTTATTTTACCTACTCTTACGGGCTCTAAAGTTAAGGAAAAGGACTTAGTTACAATTTTTAGGCTTGGAAATGTTATGCAAATGAAAGATGTTTGATACCTGTAGAATAAAGAGCTAATTGCTTCTTTCCTTTGATCTCTTGTGTGGAAATGTGCCCATTTGGGTCCTTTCCAAAAACCAGAGGACCATTTGGGATTATTAAAATCCAACTAAAGTGTCAAGTGGAATGTGGCTTTGAAAGAGATGTTAGCAAGACAAATGTTAGGTTACCTCCGGGGCATAGTAGTAATAATAATAGTGAACAACAAAAGTGAGCTATTGGAAAACATCAGTGAAAGAGTTAGGCCTTGAACTGAAGACAAGCCTCTAGATGTTTCTGCATGGTGATCATCTCAAATAGAGACAAATTCGAACTGTTTAATGCTGTCAAATGCTTCCTTAAATTTGGGTGCATATGACTCAAACGCTGAGAAAG